ATTGTTGTGCAAGTCGCTCACTGTTCACTCTCATGATCGCCGTAGCATCGGTCGAGATGCTCTTGCTGTTGCTCTGGCGGCACATCATGTTTTATTCTGAGGGTCGCCACATCAACAATCCTGATTTGAAGGCATCGACGTCTGGTGTTATGCGCCATATGCCACAGTCGACAGACGGAGAGGTGTTCAGAGCGGAGGCAGCAAAGAGGCTCGCACCCGCACTATCACGGCTAACGATGCTTGACTTGGTAAGTTGCGTTCTTTCTCTCGCTGCTTCAATCGCCGCTAACTCCTCCAATAACAGAGCTACGAGTCCACAGCCAGCGACTGGCGCGCTAACGAAGCCTATATCGAGATCATGTCACGACGACTGCGCGACACCGTCGGGCTTCACGTCGAAGACGAAACCCAGATGATGCCAGATGGTATAAGTATATAGTGTTACACGGGTTTGTACATTTGCTGGGATAAAATGTAATATATTACGTGGTGCGATCTCCTTTGAACCAGATATCATTGTTTTGTCGCTTGTTTCAACAAGTCATATGGGGAGAAGAGAGCCCGCGCCGCGCAATGCCATTTGTCCACCAAAGCGCAGCGTTTGTGAGCCCCCGGGAAAGTAGGCGAGAACGTATGAGACCAGGGCAACCACCTGTGCTGCGTCAACAAGAGCCTGATGGTGAATATGTGTAAATAGAACTTACTTGAACAATGGCACATATCAAGGACCCGAAATATGAATGCGGCTGGAGAATGTTGTCAGCGGATGCACCCGGTTATGTGAGACGGATGACGCACGCCGAGCGCAAAGTAGAGCGTGAGCCCGAGGCTAGCGAGATATGCAACGGAGAATGGTAGGCGCTCTTTTGTAATGAGGTGTCTTGCGTGGTTGATAGGACCTATCAAGACAGAGAACCTAGATTGATTTGTGCAATTCAGGCAGGGATGAATGAAGTCAGGACGATTGCGCTCACCCGAACATGACGAGGAGACTTCCCAGGCTGGTTACATGATTTGCGTTGAGAATAGCTCTCGTTGGCAATGTAGGACGCAACCTCACCTAAATGCGAGAGCGAACTTCGCCGGACGGATAGCGAGGAAAGGGAGCGTGAAGAACGCGACTGCGAAGCACACTGCTGCGCCAGCAATACACCCCAAGAATCCCAGCAACCTGCGTGCACATTGTTAGCTTTCGATGTGCACTCCAGTTGCGAGCCAAGTACCTCTCCCATCTTGATAAAGCAAAGTACGCCTCCTCCTCATTCGACCGCTCGCTCGAGCGCAAGGGTATATACGCGCCGCCAATGGCATTGTAGAAGCGCGAGAACGGGTTCGCGAGTGGCTCCGATTGTTGCTGCGAGTCGTCGTTCGAGCCGCGCGCCCAGCGGAACTGCGAGAGGTTGTCACGGAATGTCTGTTCAGTGTTGTTTGGCGCCATCGTTGGGTGATGGTCGTCGTTGTTGTCGTCGATGAGGTCGTAATGTATGCTGCTGTCGCGGCGCGGCGGCGGCGAGCGCAGCATCAGACGCGCAGTTCTAGATCACGTGCAGGATGTCGTTCCCCACAGTCGCACTCGATCTATTTCTTGAGCTTCAGTTGGACCTCCACAGATTTGCTCTACAGACAGCTAAGATATAAATGAAGGAGTGTATCGCAGTGAGAGCTACATGAATGATGTATCCAAGAAATCGTAATTTAATAATTAGGTATCAAGTAGCAAGTCTGCTGGTATGTGTTCCGCATTGTGTTCCTCAGTCGAACTCTCGGCCGTCATTAGCCATTCGTCAAGCCGTGATTTGTTGTAAATACTAGCGCATCCCAAATCCTTCATGCATTTTTGGAGTCTCCGTCCTCGAGACTGACCCGAGCACCTTTCTTCGAGTCGGATTCTCCCTCGGGGTATGATAGGTCGTTGTGGATGTTCGACTGGGGCCCGTGGTAATGCCGACGGCCACTGTGCACAGGCAAGTGTGTCAGCTCAGAACAGAATGGTGAATAGGATGCGTGCTTACTCGGCGAAATACCAGATCCTATTGAGTGAATGACAAGGTTAGAAAACTAGTGAGATCGCGTAGATGGGAGAACTTACAAAGAGAGCAGGACAACTCCACCGGTGATGACAGATGCATAATTCATTGTCTGAGCTGTCACAGGCAGGATCGTCGGTAGCGAAAAGATCACAGAAACGAAGAGTGTCCACAGGATGCAGTTGATATTTACTGCCCAGCCGAGGAGGCCGTCGCCCATGTAGAACGGACCCGGCTTGAACTGTACCTCAGGATGGTTCTGGTAGATCCGGCGCCTATATCCAAGAACTGGGTCATCAGAATGCTATCTAATCGGGAGTAAAACGAATATGAACGCACAGTCCAATGGGGATGATGTAGCTTATATCAAGTGCCATGGCCGTGAGCGAAAAGATCGCGTTTGCGGCGACGGGGCTCGCGAAATCAAGTAGACCAGGGAGGATACTGAAGATCGTCGTCAGCCAGATGGCACGGAGCGGCGTCTGCGTCCAGCGGCTGACGTAGCCGAAGTATCCACGATCGGGCAAACCTAGCGAAGTCATTGAGCACAGCACGATTCACACATGCAGCTAGAGGGCACATACCATGATCGCGGCTGAACGCGTAGACTGTGCGCGAGCATGCCTGCAGAGCAGTTTGCGACACGAAGAATGCCGTGAGGCACACAAATGTCTATGGGAAGGTGAGCGTACGTCGCTCGTGTGGAGACGTGCGAGACGCACCCAAAGAAACAATGCAGCGGGTTTGCCCATGCGCAAGGCCATGATCTGAATAGGGTTACACGCGGTCAGGGGGATCCACGATCAACATTAACATCAAGGCGTACCTCAAGGAAGGCCGAGCCAGAGGGACCGGGCAGGTTTTCACTACATTGAGTTGTCAACAAAAGACCCATCAGAGGCGAGATCATCACTGATGCATGGCACACGTACAGAGGTCCTGAACAAAGCACCAACACGATGTTGAGCAACCAGCCTCCGAGGCCAGTTCCAATGACAGCGATGAAAATTGCAGCGGGCGCTGATAGATTCATCCAGTTAGTGCAAAGCACACCGAGCTGCCAAGAAAAAGACGTACCGGCATATGCGGCGCGCTTTACCTCCTCACTGCATCAAAGATTCAGTATGTATCGATCAACCAGGAAGAGGCACATACGAGATATGCGCAGTCGCATCGTAGTCCTGGTACTCAGATCAATATATCAGTCTGACTCGGAAGAAAGGGCGACACACCGTCATCGTCCATTGCACGCTCAACAAACCGAATAGAAAGGCAATCCCGCTATTCCACCCACCCGTCTGGTTCACGACGCCTGCGGAGCCAAATACGTAGCCCGCCGCATGCATTTCGTGTCGGGGGGTCGTCGCGAGCAATACGATGACGATGACTGAGCGGCATACATTCAACTGCGACGCCCTGTTACTATGAAGAGAAAGAAACGCACTCAAAGTGGTTCCAAGATTGATGAAGACGAAGCCAGAAGTAAGTTTCGCCAGGTGGCGCGTGGCAAGACAGTTCTACGCGTCTGTGTAAGCGGGAGGTGGATAGGAAGACGCGTTCAGGGACTTACAAGTATGCCATGGAAAATCAAGAGACCGCAGAAGAGACCCACTACCTTCCCCGGCGTTACCTCGTAGTCGCCATCCTGAACAATGGCATTAGTAGCCGCTCGGGATACGATAGACACTACTAGACATACCTTGGCCACTACAACTGCCGCCCAGATCATGCTAGATAAACCAAACTCGGTCGAGGACAGTCCAGCCACCTGACCCAAAATGTTCATCCATCCCACGATCCACCCCACCTATGATGCGTACGCGTCAGTATTCATTCGTCACCGATATCTGCGACGCGTCGAAACTTACAATGGGGCGATGCCTCTTGGGCACGAGCTGCGCAGACGCGGTATACAGACCGCCGCACGTCGGGAACGCGCTCACAATCTCAGCGATACTGGAACCTTCCGTCTGATATCAGCTCGTGTGACGGCGGTAAGACGCAAATAGAAGTTACCTAATGTGAAGCACATTGTCGCGCCGAGAATCCAGCACCAAGTGACCTGTGGGAAGATACGCGATTAAGCTCCTGGGGAACAAACGAACGTGCGATCAAGGGAGTATAGAAGTCACTGCGGAGATGTGACTGGAGCTGAGACCGACTCTGTGCAGAGATAACGGCGTAGCGATCAAGGGTTGTTCGGGCCATGAGGCAATGCTCCGATATGCCAGGAGTCTCGGAAACTGGGAGGAGCTTAGGCGGGAGGGACTTACCGACGAGGGACCGCCCAACAGCAGCGGGGTGTTGAACGTCGTCGCGACCGACGAGCAGAGACCCTACAGCAGACAATCTAAGCACCTACGGCTTTGAGCTCTGGAAAGCCGTCTGCGTACCATGATACTGAAGGCAAAACTGATCTACAAGCAACAACGCCTCCTCGTCAGTTTCCACGACCACGCACACGACCAGAAAGAGTTAAAGCGCACCGTTGCAAGATTGCTGAATTCGCGCTTAAAAGAGGGGACATAGCCCAGCGCCTCGAGATGCTTGTCATCGGCGTCGGTGTCGAAGCTGCTGCGCTCGTGTTCGCTATCGTTCTGCATGACGGTCAAGAAGGAAGAAGCAAAGGAAGGTTAGGAAGCCCGTGGGCGTCTGGATGAGGAGACAAGTGGAGGTCCGCCCAGATCAAATATATACGCCAACATTTTTTTTCTGCTGATTTGAGCATATGATTCACTGATCCAGAACAGACGCTTATCGTTCCAGCCTCAGGCAGGCACAGACAACAGCCAAGAGTCAAGTGAACAGGTTCAGCAGTTGTCGACCGGTGGTATGCAGATGTCGATCGGGAAAACACTAGTGGTAACTTGGCAGTAGGACCAGCGCAGACTAGGACTTATAGCCGCGCCTAGATAGCGGGAGGCGCCCTGGCAGCAGGCTCGACGAGGACCGGTCCATTCCACATATAGCATCGCCCGTCTAGCTCAATCGGTAGAGCGCAAGACTCTTACTAAGCCTTGCTTGATAAGCAACGGGGGATCTTGAGGCTGCGGGTTCGACCCCCGCGGTGGGCTGCTAGGTTTTTTTTGGGTATATATCTTCCTTACTGTTGATTTTGCATCTTTGGTGAGTCGGAAGTAGGGGTGTTCAAAGTTCGCCAGCTGCGCCGCAGCTCGGTCGCAGCTGGGGTCGGCAGCTCGATGGCAGCTGGACTTCGTCCGTCCTGCGACTTTGAGCTGCAGTTCGTCCCCGAGCTGCCCTTGCAGCGTGACGGTCCGTGACTGTCGTCATGTCACCGTGTAGCTTGACGTGACATTTCCATAGCGGGCGCCGGGTTTCGGCTCCTTCGGTCGCCTCAGAACACTATGTTTGTTGAATTCTTCTCCTAATTTTATACATTTCAGAGCAGGAGTTAGTTTTATATGCATTTCTATCCATTTTTTTTGAACTCGTGAGCAAAGACTCTGTAGTTCCCACGAATTCTCAAGCGCTGGCTTTCCCGACTCCTTCGAATTCGGCGCGTTGGCGTGTCGGTCACGGTCATAGCTGTCAAGGGCGCATATGCACTCGGGGCGAGATCAGGGACAACGCTGGCGGCACTCCTTTCCATCTGGATTCTAATTATCTACGCTAGCACCAGTTGACCTTCATCGCAAAGCGACGACGGCTCTTGCGGGGGCTAGTCGCCGTTTTTCAGTGATCCTACGTACATTTGCTTCAAACTCGGCGTTGGTATTCCTGTATCGTATACGTACGTATCCTTGCTTTTCTCTATCCCGTTTCCGTCCTTGAACACGGGGAAAAGGCCTTCCTGACAATTGGAGTTGCCCCTGGATAACCCTAACCCTTCTCACCGCTTACGCGTCGAACAAACGGGAATAAATTACGCGTCTCGCTCTTGAATCGCTCCTTCGAACCTGACCGCCATGGCGCCGCTCAACGTACAAATCAAACATGCAGGCAAAAAGTACGATGTCGTTCTCGACCCCGATCTCCCGCCGTTGGCGTTCAAAGAGAGCATATACCAGTCAACGGGTATCCCCGTTGACCGAATGAAGGTCATGGTCAAGGGTGGTGTGCTCAAGGTGCGTGTACAATCGCCGTGGATAACATTGCTCTATTGACCTATGGGTCGGTAATGCGACAAGTAGGACGACGCCGATTGGAAGAAGATCGGACCAAAGGAGGTAGCCCCATAGCATTCTCAGTGGCGTCTGGCTGAAGCTGAGTACGTCGCATGCAGGGACAAACATTCATGGTGATCGGCGCCGCGGGAGAACTGCCTAAACCCCCCACGGAGCCCACAAAGTTTTTGGAGGATATGGATGAAGCCGAACTAGCTGACGTCGTACGTGTATTTATTCTTGCTCTACTTGTACACCGTTCTGAGCGTCCCTTTAGCTCCAGTTACCCGTCGGACTTGTAAAGTGTGTTTATGAGCTCTATTCATGTAGGCCGAGTTTGACGGGATGCATACAGCTTGGGAAACACCTGCTACATGAGCGCGACCGTCCAAGCTATGCGTGCAATCCCCGAGTTGCAGGTTTCTCTCTCAAAGTGCGCTCTAGAATTAGCTTCAAGTATCAAAGCTCATGCTGACGTTCTAATCAGAGCACGGGAGATGACACCGCTTATGAGATCGGTACGAGATCTATATAAGTTGATGGCCAGTTCCACCGGAGGCGTGTTGCCCTTGAAATTCCTGGAGGCACTGCGCGAGGCCGTTCCGCAGTTTGCAGAACGGACACCGCGGGGATACTCTCAGCAAGGTGGTTCTTTTCTCTCAAATCAAAGATACCGCTGTCTGAAGTGTCTATGAATGTCAGACGCGGAGGAATGTTGGACGCAAATGACGAACCGTTTGAAGGACCTCCCTGGCTACAGTGCCCCCCAGGGAAGCAGTGCGCCACCCCACAAACTGTTTGTGGATCAATTCATGGCTGGCACCATCGTCCGAGAGTACGTGCATAGACTCGTGAGAGCGTTCTTGTTGACCGACCCACGTTCAGAATGAAGTCAATCGAAGCATCAGACGAGCCTCCCAGTATTTCTAGCGAAAGCGTATTGAAAATCGAGTGCAACATCGGACAATCCACCAACTTCATGCTCGCGGGCATTATGGATGTTCGTGTCCTTACGGGATTTGCTGGGGAAAGCAATATTCTGACAATGGTCGATTGCAGGCGCTGAACACTACAGTGATAAAGCAGTCACCAAGTCTGGGCCGCGAAGCGACATATGACGTTCGTGCTCGATTATCGAGATTGCCAACATACCTCACGGTGCACATGGTGCGCTTCACGTGGCGTCGTGACATTGGGAAGAAGGCAAAGATCATGGTACGATCTACAGTTTTGTCGAATTTGGAATTACAGGACTCAGTGCGGCCTGTCTACATAGCGGAAAGTGAAATTCCCGACTGAATTCGACGCTCTGGACATCACGACGGACGACCTGCGTGGAAAGCTGCAGCCCGTGTCGCGTCGGCTCGCCCAGATTGAGGGGGAGCGCGCCGAGCGGCGAAAGGTCCGCAAGCGCACACGTGTGCCCGCTGCGTCGGCCTCTACTAGTGCTACCGTGGATGGGGATGTCCAGATGGCGGATGCAGAGCCTACGCCCGTGGGCGAGGACGCTCCTGCAGCATCAGCGCCGAGTGCGGACGACTCGACGCTGAAGCCAGAAAAGTGGTATAGAGAGCAGGAGCGTACCGAGCTGCGCGCGTTGGTAGACTCGGGTATTAAGGAAGACATTGGGGCAAGTCAGACCGGACTCTACGATCTTGTTGGTGAGTGATATTTCTGCGCACAGCTTCCGGCTACTCTTATTCATGCACTGCGGGATAGCTATCATTACGCACAAGGGCGCCGCTGCTGACTCGGGACATTACATTGCGTTTGTTAAGAAGTCCGCACTGAGCAAACGTAAATCGGCGTCGACTTCGGCTGTAGCTTCCACTCAAGCGGCTCGCGCCGAACAGTATGCCATGAACGCATTCATGGACACGGTAATGGGTGGCATGACCAGGGGCATGACCAATGCGTTGTCAGGCCGCGGCTCGACCACAACGGAAATCACCGTAGGAGACGTACAAAATATGTTGAGAGCTGGGCGGGCTCAAGCTCAGTCGGAATCCTCGATATCGGATGAGAACGCCCCATTGGAGACTACAGCCGATGATACCATCGACGATGAAGACGACGACTGGTTCAAGTTCGACGACGAAAAGGTGTCTGTGTTCCCGAAGGATAAACTCGCTACACTCGACGGAGGAGGGGAGGACTCGAGCGCTTATGTGCTGATTTACAAGAGTAAGTCGGTTTGAGGCGGGTTCCGAACGAGAGCAGGAGAAGTTATGGAGTATGAACACGCAATGTATGTCCTGATGATGCATGACTGCAGACAAAGTCCGAAGGAAATGCGCAGTTTGCTTGATTTCTTGGCTTGCTGTCCCTGGCGTGCGAGACCATGCCTGTCTTGATGTCCATCGTCTGTATGTCCCAATGGCATCGACCTAAATTGCTATCAGCTACAAGTCTTACCGCTGTGGGATGATCGCGACATGTAAGCTATTCTTGAACTTGTGTATTCTCAGTACAAAAACTCACGCAACCTTGTTGTAGGCATTGCCAAGCTATGAGTTGTCAAACGCCCACCGACAATTCGCAATCAGTTTTTCCCAGACTACTTGCGCCGTGGAACCAACCCTAGACTCTTGAAATTTCTGTGGGAGCAATCGTCTGCGGTAGATCCCGATGCGGACTGAGCGGGACGCCGACAGCTGCGCAGCTGCGAGAAAGCATCCACGCCAAGTTCGCAGAGTAGTTCAACGACCTCTCGAGGTGCATTGTCTGTCCACGCCGAGCACATCGACGTCGACGCGGCGTGCCTTCGCGTTTTGCAGACATCTCGGTTGACTGTGCATTACCCTCAGCTGCGTATTCCACCGCTCCACGCCAAGGTAGCCACTCCACAATTTTAAGTAACCCTCAATGTCTAGCCATTTATCGAGTCTCTGAAGTGTTTAAATACCTCGTGTCGCTGCTGCAAATCGTCATTCCACAAGGACATCTCCTATAGCACTGACATGAAGTTCAGCAACTCGATTCTGTTCGCCTCTCTCTTCATCTTCGCGATGCTGTCCGCGCCGGTTCTCGGCGCTCCGCGTCATGGTGACGGCGATGATGACGATGGCGACCGCGACCGCGACGGAGACAGGGTATGCAAAGCTTCGACTTTTTCGTCTCTAGTGATCGATGATCGCTCTCGTCACCTTGCAGCGCCGTTTCTTCGACTAAGCTCGTTGCCGGTATCGATCTTGCTACGAAATATAAACCAATGGTATGTCCCTCAGCACACCCTGTCTTCTCGCACCTCATGCAATGTCCTTGTTTGGTAGAAGTCTTATCGCTGGATATCGGAAAGTGTTGAAAAAATATGGGTTCCGCGTGCGTTCAATGTTGGTTCGATGCCTTGTTATATCGATGGGAGCTTGTAAGGAACTAGATTAGGGACGCAGGACAGATCATAGCAACCTTCAGTCGATGATTCGTACATTCCCCGTTCGGGCCGGCTCGTTATTGCGAGTTTTGTCAATGTTCCATGCCCATACGCTTTGTGGTTGTTGAACGAGAGCAGTGCGGTGCATTCGTGTTGCAACTGACGCGTTGGTGTCTGCGCCGACCTCTCGGAGCAGATCTCCTACGAGGCGATAATTCCGCGATTTTCAGGGAGCACAGCACAGTCAGGCGCAGCCCTTTCTCTGACTTCCTAGATCTGTCATGCAGCTCGAGATGCGCGGTACCGGTAAACTCGCAGCGTTTCAGTCTTTCAGAGGCCCGCGCCCATCTACTCCGAGTCTATATCAAATTGATTACCAAGAAAACGTGCAACGCTTTGTAAGTGGGCGCATCGCAACTCGTAAGTCCACATCAGTATAAGTGATCAATCTAAGAACGTATCTATCTGTTGCCGAGCATAATCATATGGCATCTACGTGTATTGTGGAGGCAAACCGGTCAGAAACCGCGCAATTTCGCATGCGAGGATATCGTGGAACTTCGACGTCGGGTGGATG